AAATACTTTTATTGTTTACTATTAAATGTGATTCAATTTTTCAAATTACACTCGTTTGGTATAACCTAGGATTACCGACAACTACCATAACGATTTAGTAAAATATGTGTTCTTAAAGTTAAAATTTCTATTAGCAAAGTATTGACATTTTGATGCATTTAGACTGAAAATCGTGCTCCCAATTTGCCTTATTCTTTGTTAATTTCTCTTAATCGGTTTTAAAGTCATGGGTTATAACAACATTATATTCACTATGGCCTTGTGGGACTATCAGAAAAGTCAGTGTCCTAGATTTTTATATTTTTTCATATTGAGCTTCCTTTTAAATTTAAAAGAAGACTCCATATTCAGTTTTCTATGAATTGCTAGAACTGTTGAAGTTCTAATGATCCAAAAATGAAAATTTATTAATCTTTCTTTGAGAATTAAACTTCTTTTTTTTCACTTTTTAAAGATTTCCGTAAAAGTAAGCGTTACTAATTCAACATGGCGATAAGATTACCGAGAATACTCGTTATATTCTTAAATAGTTCACATTCATCAACGAAGAGTGCAGTAGTTCTTGATTTCCTCGATTTAATTCGTATTTTGAATTGTTCTCAAAGACATAAGATTCTGTAACATATCGAAAAAACTACGGAATGAAATCTTCTGTTAAATAAAATTGCTAGGTGATTCAACTTCCATCAAAAGTAACTCTTGTGCTCTTTCCGAATATTATTTAATCCAATAGTTCTGTATTTTCTTTTGCTCGAATAACATTGATAAATTCAATAAGGTCAACATTTTTGTTAACTTTCAGGAAATGAGATTCGAAGCCACTGTTGTACTGCTAGATTTAGTACGTTCAACTTATCGAGAATATTTTATAGCATTTTCTCCTGTAATAATGATACTTTACTTTTGACTTTTTCAAATGTTTTTTCTGATCAACCTTAGATTAAGTAAAGATATCGAGTTATTGAATTTATATTTGGTATTATAACAAAAATTAAAAGTTTTACCAACTTATGCTTCTACTCATTAGTTAATTTTAACATTGCATAAAAGATTCGATCAAGAACAAATGACATATTTTATGTAAATGTTGCTTGATATTTTTCCTCGACAGAACCTTTTGAGAAAAAACAAACAAGATTTACTATGTTCCAAATAATGTTTTTAACCGCTCCTTCTATTTTTGAATAGAATGTCAAGCACATTTTCCAGTATTACCATGCATCATTATGCATACTATTTCTCAACATTTGTTTAAGAATAAAAGGAGATAAAAATCGATAGAAGGTCTCAAATTTTGGTTAGAACTGCAAAAAAAATATTAATAAAGCATACTGATGATATTTTCCTTTCTGGTATAAAAGAATTCTATGTACTTTGCTAAAAAGGTTGCTGAAATGATCAGTTATCCAATACATTGATACTGTATCAACAGTCTGTATGAAAACACTTACCGTACGTATTCTTGAGTTCCAAAGGTTTAAATGCAAATGTCCAAAGAAAAGATTTGCTTCCCCCCATGATAATCATGGCCATTAAATTAACAAGCGCATGGCGAATGCATAATTCGTCTACATCTTTAAAATCAAGCCGAAATAAATTAATCAGATGATTTTCAACATCATTCTCGTTCTGCTTTCGATAACCAATAATATACTGCTCAGGTTGAAGTAAAGCACGAAATACAGTTAATTCTTCAGGTAATAGTTGCAAGTTTTGTTCAATTATTTCTAGCAAAAAACTAATTGATTGTAATTCATTGCAGCAATAATAATCATAGTAAATCTTCAATATGAGCATTGCCTTTATTTCATTTAATGCAAGTTTCTTTGGATTCGAATTTAAATTGTCGTTAATCCAATTGGATAAGATATTGTATTGTTCTTCTGTTTTCTGTTTAACACAATTATCGATTATCTCACTAAGTTCGCTATAGAATTGATGAAGGTTTGGAAAGACACTTGAATCATAAGCAACTGAAGATAATGTAAATTGAATACGATGATGTGATTGTAAATATTGATTTTCCTCTGCACATTTAACCAATTTGAGAATATCATGTAACTGATTCACCCACTTACCATTTGCTGTTTGTAGTTCATTCGACTTAAGACGATTGAGAAGAAACTCCCATGATTTTCTCGATATGATAGTCGAAAGAAAATGTTGTAAATGACAGTTAAATTGATTAGGATTCTCACTGATGGATAAATATTTGTCAATGATGTCTTTCATAGATCCTGCAAAGAATTCTTTTTGATCTTCATTGATATCCGAACATAAAAATAAACCGACGAAGTGCAGAAGGAAATAAACTCTGAATTTTTTTAATAGATCACGAATGGACTGTGACTTTGACTTTGTTGTGATTTCTGGTACTGATGAAAATCCGAACCCATTGATAAGACTACATTGAATTGTTTCAGCATCAGCATAGCGTCTTAGATAGAAGAAGAATAAATCTAGTAATATTGGATTCCTTTCTGTATGATTGTTTTCGATATCACATGACTGGTAGGGTAATTCGTACTGTTGAATACTTTCTTCAGGAATACAGTCGAGTACAATTAATAATAACTGTTTCAGACGATAATCGAAATTGCTTTCGTTACTTTCAGGAGTTTCATTAATAAAGGACAAGTCCGCCAATTCATTAAAAAGTGATTGTTTTGCTGCAAAGGATAACGAACATCGTGCTTGGTTCAGATATTTCAGCAGACTATTTCTATCACTTTGAGAACAATTTTTCTGTTTTTTAAGCATTGAAACCATGAAGAAATGTATGTCAATTAGTACAGTGGAACTATTTAAATTGTTCCTTGAAGTATATTCTTGAACAGTGTCTACAATTCGTGGTAGTTCTTTCAGAAAATGTTGTATCGTATTTTTGTTTGAAGTAGCAGTATTATTATCATGCAGAAAACTCATTAAATTATTTATAAGTTGCGATGGTTCTGATATACTTTCGTTCAGTAGGATTACATACGCCAAATTCATAAAATTGACTTTGTTTCGAGTACCGGAGAATCTGCTTGAGTTTAAAAGTTCATTCGAGGGATAATATTTAGAAATGAAAGTATAAAGGTAGGTCCACTCTTCAGTTGAATTTTCATCACTACTAGAAGATAGCTTACAAAGATGTTCCCATAATTGGTCAAACATTAATTTACATAATTCCCCACGTATTTCTGACTGAGATAATTCATTGCTTGCAAGTAAATCACTATATGAGGCTTGACTCTGATTAATGCTATCGAGAATTCGACAAGCTGAGTAAAGTGATAGTAAATCATGTCGACTGTATTCAAATGATGTATATGCATAACCAAGAAGCCACACATATTTATTTTCGCAGTTCTCAAATGATGGCAGATCATCCTCATCTATACGGATCAGCCAAGTCGAAATAAATTCGATCGCTTTGTCAGATTGAATAGTATTTTCGCTAAAATTATTCTCCGTACTTGCACAAAATCGTTGTACTGAATCATTTACATATCGATAAATAAAAGATCTTAAGGTCTCATCCAAATTTGATTGTTTATCGTTCACTTCTTCACCACTGCAATTCTCAGTACCATGTTCAGAGATAATAGTAATCAATACATTATCACTCATTATTTGTTTTGTTAAATGATTATGAAATTCTTTTTGAGTATATTCGAACATTTCATCAAATTTGTTTTTCGAAGTTGACTTCGCAGTTGTATCTATGTTGTGAATAGTAAGAGTTATATTATATATTTAATTTAGTGATTTTCACTATTCGAACGGTCATCATAACGTCTACACATACTTATGTTCTCAAGTATTCTGTGGGTACTTCGGACGAACAACAAATATGCACAGATACGTCGAATAATACAAATCTTTTCGAAAAATTATTTGGTTTTACACTGTAACTATATTCAGGAGATAGAGGATGTATACTTAGTTCTGGTTTTTATTGTACTCAGTTTTTTATGTGTGTCAAACTTTATAACGCTCGAATTTCTAAGACCACTAATGCAGTTCTAAAAGGTAACTTGAATCTCAAAGTAAGAACTTTGACGAACTATTTTGTTTCTGAAGATTTTAGTAGTAAATCCATACACTCTAATTTAACCTAGTTCAAGCATAAAGTTAAAAGTGGAATTGATACTGATCTTCTAATTTTATCGCATATTCCAATGTTACTAGCAGAATTGTTCAGTAAATAAGTTCAAGAAAACAATATAATGCATTAGTTTTATTAGTTAAACAATGAACAATTGGAAAATTACAATTAAACACTAAAATGAGTCTTTTTTATTGAGTGTTACCGTGTGCACTAACGAAGTTCTATGTACTATTAAAGTGCTGAAGTTTGATAACCTTCTATCATTCGATATTTTTGTTTCTTCTACATTTTTCATGAAATTCTTTTTTCTTGCCGATTAATCGTTAAGAATAGTGTCTTTCGTAAATAACTAAAAAAGTTTACAGACCGGCGTTCGATATTTTTTCAATTCAGATAATAAGTGCGCCCTGACATATTTTAACTTCTAGTCAATTACTATATAATATTGATACTGCCGTGTAATCAGAACTTTCCTATTAGCATACATTACAAAGATAGTTGGTCAATTGAAAATTTATCTGCATATTCATAGTTAATTTTTTTCACCGTTTCTTTGAATCATAAGAATAGATTACTCTCGTTTGGATCCAGTAGGTCTCCTTTAAAGATGTTTTATTTGAGTCGTATCACAGTTAAATTTTGGGTTATAACTTTTCGGTTAGATCCCAACCTAATAAATTAATAGTAGTACATAATTTTATTTGACACATAAGTGTGTTGAGAACTTTTATAATTTAGCTCAAATACATTCGCTCTTGTTCACTTGATTTTATTAAAGATGAACTAAATCCTATCCGATTTTTTATAGTGAAGAGATTGTGAGAGAGAGAAACCGAAATAAGATATCCTCTAATGTGATTGATAGGAATCAAATCGAGGTAACTTGAAAAGAAATTGAATAGAATCATATTTTCGAACCTCTTTTTTTCATTTGTATTTCCATGAGTATTTGTTTGACATTATCAGCCAATGATTGAATTCGTTGGTGAAATAATTGATATAATGGTGTTTGTGGAACGCATGAATGCTGTGTTATAATTTGAATAATGCCTTGACTTGGTAAAGGTAAACCATTTTTATTCTCATCGAGAACCAACGGTACAAGATCAATTAAGTTCAGCATATAATTAAATCTATTGTCAATTTCCGATGATTTTGATAATGCTTCCAAACCATAATCATTTACGATGAATTTTAAAATGTATGAAACAAACTTTGTAAATGACATTCGTGTTTCAAATTGTATGGAATCGACGAGTCCACTCGAATATGTACCAGAGAGAATGTTTTTTGATATATGGTATATTTCATTATAAGTTCTGTTTAAGGACTTCTGTTTCTTCGACATATAGTTATGATACATACTAATAATTTGCTCTTGTATTTTATTTGATTTATGGAGAATTTTCTTTAAACATTGTACACGCCTTACTATACTTGTACGAAGTTGATAAAAATCTTTGACATATTTGTTCTTAAAAGTGTCTTTTGGTGGTTCATGAAGAAAGATTCGAACTCTTGAACAAAAGTCCCACAAGCAATCACTAAATAGAGCATCTAAATCGCATAGTATATCGCTGACTTCTTCTTTCTGTAGACTATCTGATGAACATATGAGCTGTAACATCTTCTGTAGATGAAATGCCGCTCCTGGAGCACATGTGTCGAAAAAGTAGAAATCCCATCCATATAAAAATATCACTGGAAAATACTTTTTAGAAAGATGTGCATCGAAAGGTTCATGAACAAGAATGATAAAATGTTTTTTTTTCAGTGAATTGCTGGTTCCATTGTATTCACTGTCTATTTTATCAACGAGTTGTCGTACAAATGGAATACTTTGACGTTGTTGTTTCAATCGAGCGTTTATTATAATGATGAGAACAAATTTATGTTGGTCCGCTTTATAGGCGAGAAGTTTTTCTTCTAATTCAGCGGCGTTTTCAATGCCAGCCTACAAAAAACAAATATTATTCGACTCTATTAAAATAGGTTCGAAACGCATCTAGAGCTATTTTTTATGATGAATAAATCGCCCTGGTTCTAATTTTTGTACGATAAATATTTCTAGAAGTGACATAATCAGCTTAGATTATATTATGAATCACAGCAAATATAATTGTTTTGAACTAATACGACTGCTTAGTCATGGATTATTGTAACTGATCGGTATGTTAGGATATGGACTTAATTATACTCGAAAATCTGTCCATAGCTTGCAAACAGAAAAGATTGCAAAATCTGATAGAGACAGAAATATAAGTTGACTAGCTTTTTATTGGACAGCATTATAAAACCTCAGGAATATATTTCATAGTTGTTCAACTTGTGAACTCCTTAATATGTGAATTGTTATAATAATTATTAATATGTACTTTATTTATTTACTTGGTATTTTTTAAATATTCAACGTTATGATAAGATGGAACAGATGATTCTTTTCGAAGTAAGATGGAGTGTTTTTAACGCTATACAATGCTTTTTAAACTGAGTTGTATTCAGTCCATGAGATACTAAATACTTAGGATTATCCAAAAGTAGTGTCGCCATTACCAAATTTTCCTATAGAATGTTTGAAGAATTTTTCTTTTCTTATACAGTGATAGAGAAAACGATGCTCTATTTTTCTGTGCTATTTGATCAATCTTCGACTAATATCATAATAATAAAATTCCGATACGAACTGTTTTTGTGTAAAACTTCACTAACGGGTGAGGCAGATTAAATGTTTCAATCATTTAGTACATTGGATTAAAAAACGAAATATACCAAAAGATGCAGTGTGAAAAGCTCTACAATTTACATAAGTCCACTTGTTTTATAGTTGCATTTTTTGTTTTCAAAATGAACAAAATTTCGAGCGATCAATTTTCGACCGTGCGGAAACGATATTTTTTAGTCGAAGAACAATTCATTTTTTCTTACTTCATCTTTTTATCACCTAACATCTTTTGTTTAAAAAAAACAAAATACATCACAAGATGCAGCGTGAAAACCTCTACAATCTGCAAAATAAAGCTTATTTCAAATTGTGTACTTCTTGTTTCCAAACAAAACGAAAATTCTGTGCAACCAATTTTCGCTGGCCCCCCAAAAATTATTTTTTTCTTATTTCCTATATAAAATAAACTGTTCTTTAAAAATTGTAGAGCTTTTCACGCTGCATCTTTTGGTACACTTTGATTTTTAATAAAATGCATTAAGTGATTGAAAATTGAAATGCAAAGCATATTAATCTGCCTCATCCATTAGTGAAGTTTTACACAAAAACAGTTCTCATCGGAATTTTATTATTATGATATTTGTTGAAGATTGACCAAATAGCACAGAAAAATAGAGCATCGTTTTCTCTATCACTACATAAGAAAAGAAAAAGTCTTCGAGCATTCTGTATGGAAATTTGGTAATGGCGACATTACTTTTGGATTGATCTAAGTAGTTTTCAATTTTCGTGACAGAAGTTAGTTGAGATTGACTTAAAAACATTACATCAGTTTTCTATAAATTTGCTAAAAAGAAGGTAACACTTCTATTATCATTACATCTAGTGCAAAATTCTTTAGTCTTTAAAATTAAAATATGACAAATTTTCATATCAAAGATGGCTTTCTGTAAACAGATCGAGCCGCTCTACAAGTCACTCTTGAAAAGAGATGCAGAAAACTTATACCAAAGATATGCACAATTACGTTTCCTCGTTGCATATTTGTGGTCCTCTATTTTGATTCAAGTTAGAATGAGGCTGAAGAAATGTTCATTACTAATAGTAGAAAGTATCGATTCATATAGAACAAGACAAATAATAGAGAACGAGGAAAAACATGTAATATATTTGTATATGATTCAAACATTTAATTACGTTATCATCGGATCATTAAAAATAAATTTAGTTATAATCGAAAAATATACATTTCTGATCTATCTCAGTATCATAAGTCTATCACCCTTAAGAAATTAATGTTAGTAATTGTGAAAAGCTATTTGTTAAAAAGTATCACAAGTGAATTAATCTGATATGTTTTCGGGAACCGGATCCACTGATAGATCTGAGAGACATATCTATGTATTCTATTTAGCATCAATAACTGTTTAGTAGTAGTGATAAAGGCGGCTCATAGAGAGATATTGAATCCGACGAAATTCCAATGATACAATTTCATTGGATCCCCACACTAAAGCTCCATCAGCTGATTCGTTTCTCGGAATGATCAATATTGAAAAGCAGTTAAATTTCAGTACTAGACTATCATCATACAATGCAATTAGAAAATGAGATTATTCTTGTGAATGAACCTCCATTATCTGAAAATCTCATTATAATCAAATCATGTTGAATTATCACAAACACTTACCAAACTTAGAACATCAGTCATTCCACTAATTGTTCCATAATCGGCGCTGTTTCTATTGCCTAGTAATCGATATTTCGATAATTTATTAAGACTCAAAATGTAGGACGACGTTCGCGTATATATCATTACTTTTGTTGTTATGAGTACATTCACATCTGATACTACTTCGTCCGTCGTTCTATTTATAATTTGATCGTCATCTGTTTGAGTTAGTGGCTTTGTAATAAGTTGTCGAATATAATTTTCCAAGCTGAAATGTTCTTGTTGATAAAAGTAGTTTTCACATAGCGAGCGCGCAGTTTTATCTTCAAATATCGGTAATTTGAATATCATTGACTCAGGTGAAACGATCTGGATCAATTTTGAGAGTATTGTGCGTAGTAAACGTTGCTGCACATTGGTTATACTTTCAATGAACGATTTTGTTCTAATGGTCAACTGCGTGTACTGACGATCTATGTTAGATATTCTACATATTCCATTTTCTTCACATTCTAACAGCGATAGTAAACACGAATACAGTGTATCGTTATTTAAGCCAACAAAATTCTTTGCATTGAAGCAATCGATAAATGATTTCAACTTCTCTTCAACATTAGTCAAACAGATTTGATCGTCTGCCGATAGTTTTTTAAATTGAAGTCGATAGAAATTTTCAATGCTCAATGAATACTTTTGAAAACGACTTAAAAATGGCGCAGGTACTTCTTTCATTTCACTTCGGTTTATATGTACGATACATTGAAAATCTTCATGAACAACAACATCAAGTGTTTTAGGACCGATGGCAACTTTCGAAAAAATCTTTCGAGTATCTCCTGTTGCCATAATTGAGAAGTTTTGATTGAATACATCGTAAAGTGCCCCATGTATGCGCCCAGTGTTAACCATTAAAATTGTCTTACCAGTCTCCATACATAATTTAATTGTTGATAGAATTTCGACGTTTTTCAATTCATTATTAACATCACTGGGAAAATCCGATAAGCGAAAAACTGTTGTTCGATTTGGATCAAGAATTTTTGTTTGAAACAAAAACCGAACAGCGCTTTCATCCTCAGATTCGTCAATAACCAACTTATAGCGACCGTATGAACGACGACGTACTGAAGTGAGCTGCATTGACTCGCTCAAAATAGTTGTTACATCACGATATAAATTTGACCCTCGATCATCAGTTGGTTGTTCAAATGTAAGACATATCTCTTCTATTGCATCAAAGAAAATCTTAGTCAGTTTTTTAAACTGGTCGAATGTTATTCCATTAAAATTATCTTCAAGGACGGTTAAAAGATTCGTCGGTGTAATATGAATCTTATTAGAATCAGACTCTGTTGAAGTCAATGAAGATTCAAAACCTAGTTCTCGCAACATGTAGATAAAATCTCGATCATGAAATATCTTTTGAAAATCATTATAACTGAGCAAATTTCGGTAACCTTCACAAAGACCAGTTATTATATTTTTAAGATCTTCAGACGTTTGATCATTTTTGTTAAGACCAAGGCAACCGTGAGCTAAAATTTCCTGATCCTCTTTTGATGGTAATGAACGATAAATGCATGTCATTCGATTTGCATTTGCAGCATCAAATGGACTGTTAGCAATGGCTACGAAAGCAACTTTGCATTCGTCTAAATATTGATGCAATACTTTTAATACCATTCTCTTTTCATTTGGCAACGATGCTTCGTCCAAAAATACAACCTAAATTAATTAATACCGATAGAGCATTCGCTATCCTGTATTTTGGTTTTAGAAATAACGAAAAACTTACACATCGTGTTGCCATTCGATTTTCCTCGTATTGTTGTTCACGTTTTATTGCTCGATCGAATGCATAGGATATATCTTTTGAACTTGTATGCTTTGATCCGAGACAAAAAAATGGATCAATTGCTGGTAAACTTTTACAAAAGTTTTTTTCTGACAATTGTGGACCTTGAAGGTTTTGAAGAACAATTTGAAATGATAAGGTTTTCGATTGACCTGTGAACAAACATATAAGTTTAAATGTTTTACTGCCCAACAAAGTAAATGAAATTTATACGTACCGGGTGCACCAATGATGCAGACTGGTGTTCGTGTAGCTATACTAACAACAATTGCAAAAACATGTTCACGAATCTATGGTAAAGAGGGAAGGAAAACATATCAGCAAATGAAGGACTTCAGCAAAATACATACTGCTTGATTAATGGCCACACCTTTTGGTATCACAAAATTTTCATCGTTGACAAACTTTTTTAATTCAGTCTCAACGATATTAGCAAAGTTTGGTATAGTCGCAGCAGAAAGTTTCTTAGCTAAGTCTTTACGTGAAGATCTTTTCTTATCTTTGGATTCTTCATTGTCATTTCCCGTTGGTAAACGAAAATAATAGATTAATGCAATGGATAACGCAATACATTTCAATGCATACTGTGTCCGATCAATATGCTTAGTATTATCCCAATTTGACGACCAGAAATATTCAATAAGATTAAAACATCGTTGAATCTCGCGTTGTGACACTGTGTTGGAAGCTTTAAAAAGAAAACAAAGATAATACATAATTATTTCTTGAAAATTTGTAAAGATTACCCAGATTGGTTTCACAGAATTCTTGTGCATCGAGTATGGCTTTTGTCAATATTCCTTGTTCAGACTGTGTTAATGATATTACTTGCCCATCTTTCTGTACTGATATTTCAAATTTAGCAATTTTTTGTTGAATATAATCCCTCATTGTTGATGATTCTAATATACCATATTGCACCACTAAATTTTGTAATGATTGTGGCAATTCATGAACCAAATAGTCAACGCGATAAAAATCATCATCAGTAAGTTCAGTTTTTCTTGATGGATTTATGGCAGCTGTAAAAAAGATATTTTCTGGTAAATTAACACCATGCAATGTCTTGTCGATGAACATTTCTTTAATTAAGCCCAGACATGAAGAAGTATTTACTTCATCGAAAAACACTACTAATTCAATATTAGGCACCTGAATGGCTAATTGACAAACAGGTACCATAAACTGTTCGATTTCCTTCTCTGTTATACCTGGATGTAAAAGAAGACGATAGAATAATGTCTTAGTCCGTGTGTAGAATAAGTATTCATCCAAAATCTGAATAGCATCTTCTATATTTGACGACTTTGACGTTTCGAGTAAATATTTTAATCTCGAGCTGCATTCGATTAATGGTAAAGTATTCATTTGTAATTTAACATATTCGGCTACGTCCGGAAGATCTGTCTTATTCCATGTAGTCAATATTGTCTTGAAAATACATTTTAAGCTGTTACAATTAAATTTATAATTTCTTAATGAATCCATTAGTTCTTTGATTAGCGAGCTTCTCAATAATTTATTGAATAGTTCTAATTTCTCCTGTGATGTCATTGTTGATTCCATGCCAGTTGGCATTTCTTCAAGTATAGTTCTGTTCTCAGCATCAACGGGCAATATTACATTTTTTCGTTCTTCAGCATTTTCATTTATCAAATTTTCTTTTATTTTCTGTATAAGCTGGATCCATATAGTCAATTCATCTTTATGACTTGGCTTGATAAGCCAGTTGAGAAGCCAAGTATTTGTACGCTCGAGTATTCTTGGTACAACATTATTGTTAATATCTCCGCGAATCATATTTGCGTTCAGTAAGTCTGCATAAAATTTCAGGAGAAAAGTTTTACCTACACCTGTTTCACCTTCAATTATTAACGGAAGCCTTGTCAGTTTTCTTTCATGTATGTGAAAAAGTTTGTATGCAAAATTCTCTGTTAGAATGAATTTCGATTCATTAAGTATTTTCACAAAATAATCATACTGAATATCGATTAGCCATGATAGACATTTGGCAAAATAATCCTTTCCGACAAATTCCAATCCTTCTCGCGGATCCTTATTGTTCCATAGTCCTTTCAGTGTTTCTGGTACTTGACTCCAATTATTGTGTAATAGTTGCAATGCAAAGTACGGATCATAAACAAAATATAGACGCGGATAGTTGCTGGTTTTAAAAGAAATATCAACAAGACATTTAACTTCATTAATCATTTGTTCCATAACTATGCTACCAAGATTTTTAATAATCATGTTATGCTTGTAAAAAAATCCTTCAAAAAACCGAAGGCGACGATATAAGAACTTTGTAAACGAAAGTTGATAGAGTTTATTGTCACATGAATTTTTACCAGAAGATTCTTTTATGCATTTATTTATGTATGTTCGACACTCATTCGGGTTATCGATGTGCTTGAATTCCACTAGTTGAATGTTTTTTCCACATCGATCTTCCTTACAAAGTCGATTGATCTCGTTATTATAATAAGCTTTAAGAAATCGAGCTACTAATTTTTCTTCTTCTCCGATACATAACTCATTATTGTTATTATTAACTTCGAGCGACGATTGTGATATAATAGACAGTGTTGGTAATATTTTATTGAAATTTTCTTGAGTTGATTCATTGCCTACGCTTAAATATGGAATCTCAATAATGAATTTCCATGAGATTTTGGTTGGTAACGAAAACGTAAGACCGTTAGATGAATCAGTAAGTGAGCCACAAACGAAAATCGAAAAAAGAATACGATTTAATTCTTCAAATGGAGCATGACTTGAAATATTCAAAATAATAGTAGCTCCGTTCGATAGTTTTTTCGTTTCATATGATAGAAATGAACTGATCACGAATGATAAATCTAGCTCATCATTTATAGTTAAATATAATGCATCCTCGCTTTTATATGTTGTTTTGATTAGGTGTGTTTTTCCTGTAAGAAAATCATTTATTGTAGAAAAAAAAAGAATGATTGCAGGGAATATTTCACTTACCAATACTGGATTTTCCATAAATGACTTTAATTTGCGGCTGTTCGCACGTGGATTTTTTAAATAGTTCGGCCAAATTTGACTTTATCTGAATCTTATCTCTATTTTGCGATAATACGGGGAATAATTTCAAACCTCGTCGACTTATTAATTCTCTTGAAAAGTAATAAACAATTCCGTGAGGCTGTTGAGATTGTGACAATGATTCTTGTTCGTTTAATAATAGTTCCCGAAGGCGAGGATGCATTTTATCGATGTCCATTACAATAAAGATTAAATTACAAAATTTCCGAATTCGTGAATAGAATAGTATGATATCATCTTCAGTTGTTTTCATACACCAGAGAATTTGATTGGACGATGGCAACTGATCTTTAAAGAGGTTCAGTAGTGTGTACCATGCATCCATATCAAGAATATTGTTAAGTGGATGGCCATTTGTTGTTTGTCTTGATGAGTTTACTGAGATAATATATTGATATCCTACATGTGGTTCGTGGTCCGACGAACGGCTTTCGCCAGGGAATAATTCATTAAGAAAACGACTTAAGTTGTCAAGGGATCTTTCAACATTTGCATCATATGAAATTTGATATTTTGCATATAACTTAACTATATTGTTTTCAAAACCAACACTATTATTTAAACGTAATGAACGAAGATAGCTGATCAAAAACTTTACGCTTAGGTTTAGCATGATCTCATGGGAGTTTTGATTCTTGATCGAATACCACCTACTAATAAATTGACTTTTAATTCGATTTTTTTCGTTCGATATCGATAGCAGAATGATCATGATCATGATTTGACGATTTGAGAACAACTTTAACAGTCGATTTTTTCTATATTCTTTTAGGGCATTAATCCATGTTTGGTAGTCGGATTCTAACTTTTTGAAGATTTTATCAATTGCTTCTCTTCGGGATTGGGCAGCTTTGAGTAATTTATCTTTATATTCATCTTGACCATCTCTAACTTTGAACAATATTTCTTCCATATTCCCTGATAAATGAAGAAAGAAAATTTATCGATTGTATACGAATTGTTCATTAATGTCGGAAAGCTCGAACTATAGAAATAGCTGTGATGACCGATTTCATTTCTTAGAGAAACTTTTTATCCATCGTAATAGTTGTTCCGTTTTGTGGAACTTAATTTCTATAAACCAGGATCGTTCGGAATCTACTGAAAATAAATAAGTTCAAACTTTTTATTGGTCTATAATATTTATTTATAACTGCCAACTACCTTATTAAAATCTGATCATTTAGCTTGCCTACTAATTTGAAATGATACGACAGATATAACTCAAGATGTTTAAAAAATAATGTACTGTGCAATTCAGATTGTTCTTCTAGTACGGGTACTAGGACAATTCGTTGCACAGACAATTCGTTGCGAGACAATTCGTCGCAATGATATAGTCTAATTAAACCTTATCAGTATTTTTTTATAGATTAATTGATATATTAAGATGAGTTAGAAACACATAATGCAATAAGTATGACAATTGTAGAGGCTGTTTTTAACGATTAAACTGTGAATTTTTATTTCGGTTTGTATTGTCATAAGAAATTCTGGTTTGATAAAAAAGAGAATCAGATCTATTTTCTTCACCAGAATTAATACTGATGGGATGAAATAACCTCAAACGTGAGAAATCATCAGAACTAGTGCTAGCACTGTATAAATCATCGATGAATTCAAACCATTTTAGTTTTAAATATGTCATATAAGAGCTGATCGTTTTAAACTAATACAGTTTGTAGGTTAAACAGGGACATTGAATAATAAAGATTTGATCGAAAGCTTTTTTGGTTATGCTAAAGCCAATCTTTGTTAGTGAATATTAGATTTCACTTATTCTCTCAAATTATTGTTCTATGTATCGTAAATCCTGAGCTACAATATGAATTGAAAGAAAGATTCAGCACCACTTTTGCTTCTATAAGAAAACTTCTACTGCTGACATAATTCAGAGAACTTAACTTTTTATGTGTGCCAGACGATTATTGTATTGATCGGGATCAAAAATTAAAGTTTAGTCATTAAAAATAGTCTCCACAATTGTCATACTTATTGAATTATGTATTTCTAACTCATCTCAAATGTCAATTAATTTATGAGAAAACAATGATAAATTATAATTGTATTGTATCATTGCGACGAATTGTCCAGTCATCCTAGTACGAACATACCATTAAGGTTGACCTATTCATGAATGATATCGGTGCTCTGAAAAATAATATATTGTCTTCGTTACGTCTATGCAGCACATCAACGAAACTTCTATGTACTTCTTTATTAAGTTACAATCAAAACCAGCTAATATAAAACTCGATACATGTTGATTAAAGAAATTATCAATCGTCGCATTTTTCAAATATAGCACTACTCGATATTCTACTGATTCTAAAACATGGCAAAGAACTATTTTTTCTAATGCTTATTATACGTTCAACAAATTTAAGTTCAAAAGTATTCATCCTTGATTAGAGCAGAATTATGCAGATCGAACAATACTGCCAGTAGATGACCGCTTACAGAAATATGTTCATATCGGATCAACAAAGACTATACTTGAGGTGTGGTTCTTGTTAGCTCTAATATGTATAGAACGAAAGATACAAGCAGTATCACTGATGTTATGTGACAGAACGGTGAAAAAAACGACCTTCGTGGGAATCGAACCCACGCCTCCTGCTATCCGAGCAGTTGCCCTAAGCCAAATAGACTAGAAGGCGCATCTTAATCATCGTTTAGCGTTAGTGTGATCCATCACTAACGCTAACAGTTCTCGATTAATCTTTTCTTGAATAATAGCTATTGTTACAGTCAGAAAAGTCCTATTAGCACTTATAGTTTCACAACAATCAGCTAGTCGATTTGAAAGATTATCAAAACCAATAACAGTATCCTTGGAATAGAAGTTTCATGATAAAATGAGAAAAAAAAACCATTGTTCCATCACACTCTAATAAGTCTCACACTCACTTGTTCGGTAATTGATTTTGATATGTTTATCTACTAGTTGGTAGGCTGGATGACCATCCATTTCTAACTTAGTAAGTAATAAAAATATTTCATCGATCCGTTTTAACAATGTCAATTGTTCATCGAGTAGATTTTTTTTGTCAATCATATCTTCATCTAAATCTACTTTGCAAAATGTTAATTGACGTTTATGATCGTCA